GAGGGGCTCAATGGGGGGGGGAAATGGGGACACCTGTAATACGTTCAACAATAAAGATAAACTTTAAAAAATGATGTAATATCTAAAAAAAAAAAAGTTACCAAAGATCACAATTTTAACTACTGAGGTACTTCTTGTTGCACCTATACATTTTGGACAGAAATACTTGGGAACAGACTAAGTTACTGAAGGAAAATTAATTATCTTGTGTATTACAGTTATAGTTTGCATTTTACCTGTTTTACTGATTCACTTGAGAAATGGCAGAGAAAACTGTGTTAAAGATAACTTTGCAATTTTTGGAAGTGGACACAGTAAAAATATTTGAGGCTTATTTATTTGGTTATTTCTTGACTATTTGCACCAAATTCAACAATGAAGCATACACAACTCTTAAAAAATATTTTTATACTATTCTTATGCAAATTGCTGATCCCTCAGTACACTGAAACTATTCCCTAATTATGAACCTCTCAGTTTGAAGACTGCTTGCAGCCACAAATGAAACTCAAATGGGAGTAAAGTCCTTTGGCCCACTATAGTTTGCATTTTGTTTAGTTTGCTTTAGTTCTAGGGAGTTTTCATTTATGTGGCTGTTTTCACCTTTCTCTACTATTTCTTCCCAGTATATACATGCTGGTAACTTGGAGATGAAAAAATAATTTCTCCTTGAATTTATGGTTATATCCAGGGTATATGATTGGTTAGCTTTTCAGTCAAGCCATTATGTTCTTCCCCACTCATTTCCTACCCTGTGTAGTGCTGTGTAGGTACTTTGCCAAGTGTAATGCAGTGAAAAAGATGGTGATGGTGGGGCACTTACTGCAACTGTAACTGTAACATTAACTTATATAGATTGAACCAGGGATGTCTGGATGCTTACAAGGGAGGGCTAAGTACTGTTAATGCCATCAATGCCCTAGAAAGAAATTGGTGGTGGTTTTTCTGAGGTGAGAGAGGAAAGAATAATTTGCTGGGTTTTATGGCCAATAACTAAATTAAAATTGATTAAAAAATATATATATATATGTGTGTGTGTGTGTCTTTATTGATTTCAGGGAGAGGAAGGGAGAGAGAGAGAGAAACATCAATGATGAGTCATCGATCAGCTGCTCCTGCATGCCCCCTGCTGGGGATCAAGCCCGCAACCTGGGCATGTGCCCTGACTGGGAATCAAACCTCGATCTCCTGGATGACAGGTTGATGCTCAACCTCTGAGCCATGCTGGCTGAGCTTGATTTTTTTTTAATCCTCACCCAAGGATATGTTTAGGGAGGGAGACAGAGAGAGATAGAGGAAAAAAATATATCAATGTGAGAAACATGGATTGGTTGTCTCCTGTAGGTACCCCAACTGGGGATCAAACTCACAATCTAGGTATGTGCCCTGACCGGGATTCAAACCTGCAACCTTTTGTTGGTGTACGGAAGACACTCCAACCAACTGAACCACCCAGCCAGGACTAAAATGCTTAATTTTTAATTTGAATGTTTCTACTAGAGGTTTTTGATTTGGAAATTTGTTATTTTTGCATGTTTGTCAACTGTAGTTATAAATACACCATGATATTTTTAAAAATCCCTAAACTTTATGTATTCATTTATAGGCTTCTGAAAGGAAGATAAACCTTTTTAGAAATAGGTGTTTCTGCCCAGCTGGTGTGGCTAAGTGGTTGAGCATTGACCCATGAACCTGGAGGTCATGGTTCAATTCTGGTCTGGGCACATGTCCAGGTTGTAGGTTCAATCTCCAGTAGGAAGCGTGCAGGAGGCAGCTAATCAATGACTCTATCATCACTGATGTTTCTCTCTTTCCCTTCCTCTCTCTCAATCAAAAAAATAAAATAAAAAATAGTTGTTTCTGTTCTGAAACTAGCTTGTGAAACCCTGATCTCATTTTCGAAAATAAAACATTTTGCCCTAGCTAGTTTGGCTCAGTGGTTAGAACATCGGCCCGAGGACTGAAGGGTCCTGGGTTCATTCCAGCCAAGGGCACATACCTTAGTTGCAGGCCCGATCCCCAGCCCTGGTCGGGGTGTGTGTGGAAGGCAACCAGTCGATATGTCTGTCTCGTATCGATGTTTTCCCTCCCTCCCTCCCTCCCTCCCTGAAA